AAAGTGCATTTGAAATATACATGTAGGCCCAAATAATAGGGAGCTTAAGCAACCACGATAACGAAGACGACAACTGCAACGTGAAAAAAAAAACCGTTGTTTTAATGACAACAGCTCTGAATGGCGTGCATTACGCTTTTTAGTACATTTCTTTGGCGTCCACTGTACGACTTCTACGTGAATCCTCCTTATACAATTTTATGGAGGACTTGTACAAGAATCCTCCTTATGCAACTTTCATGGAGGACTTGAACATACGACAACGATATTCCTTTCTCTTTTTGAAGCTGGATAAAGGTCCTTAGGAATTCAACCCCAGGAGAAATCGACCACATTTGACAAATCAAGCGGGTCCAAATAGACGCAAATTTATTTTCTTAGTTGCTATGGTATTTTATCCTGACATAATGCAAACCATAATTGTGAAGTCCACTATTATTTTGAATTATTGATAAAAGAATTTTTTAAAAAAGCTGTAAAGAAAGTCGCGTTCTGTGAAAAGTGTGAACCCTAGGAGACATTTCATAAGTACTGAGGTGGAACATGACCGTCCGGGTGATCGTAGGCCTGAGGAGGGGTCTTGCTGACAAGTGACTGACGTTTCGAAACAATCCGGTAGTCATCTTCAGTTGATGGTACCAAAGTTGCCTTTTGTTTAATGTCGACCCATTTCTCACTTTTTTAAATTAAATAAAACATGCCATCTCGTATTTGTTATCCAAACAAAACTCAATGCTGCCTTTAATTCTTAGGAAAATATGTTGGAAAGTATGAAGAAATTAAAGGATGAAAAGGAAGAAGTAACAAAAAGTCTTCGGAACTTTGCCGAAACATGCACGTAAGTCCAATTCTATTCCAAGAATGATATAGATAATATAGTGATTTACCCTGGCCGAAAGCCCACGATAAAGAAATGTCTCTAGGAGAGGGAAGGGGACTTATCTAACAACAACAACAACAACGAGAACGGAACACTTGTCGGAATTTTCAATAGAAATTCCCAACAGTTAATTACGAGAGTCTCGTTTTTTCAGATGATTCTAATCGATTTTCACTCTTTCGAATTACCAATTCTGGAGCCACAAATTCTGGCAGCGATACAGAGATATGCTAAGTGGCCCCTAAACGATGCTTTGACAACGCGTAAGGCTTTCATTTTTGGCTAAGGCTTCCTACCAACCATTCGCGGTCGTTAAATTTTATCCCGGTAAGCAAGAACCCAATTCATTAACTGTCCTCCAACAGAAACTTCATTTGCAAACAAGGTGGGATGCCTCTGTACAAATTTATAAACTGCGTATCAGCAATTCAAACGCTTAAACTTGAGCCCTTTAGGCATACACGCGCTCTTTAATTGTCGAAGAGTTTGTCCTCGTTTGATTATTCTAATTCTTTTTTTTTTGTTTTCGTTAAAGGGTTACAATTTAATTGTGAAGCAGCCCGCATAGAAGGCGCTTGGAAGTAGTGGAAGCAAGAAAGATCGGGCGCACGAGAGGGAGACAAGCGAGGGGAGAGGGAGTGCTTGCCCGGAAGGCACACGTCGCGTGTCTACCCCTCGCGCGCCCGTTCTTTCTTGTGCCCACTACTTCCAAGCGCCTGCTGCGCTTTCTAATTGCGAACACGATAATAGGCCATTTCCGAGTTGCCCGGGGCCTCTGTTTCAAAACGAGGGTGGGTGCTCAGCCTTTGATATGGAAATCAGTTTTCATTCTCAATCAAATATAACTCATTTTCACAAGAAAGGTTGTGCACCTAGCCTCATTTTGAAAGTGAGGGTTTTTGGAACTCGGAAGTGGCCTATTGATTTAGCCGCCAGTAGGCCTAAAAATGTGTTTCAACTGCGTGATCACATATAGATATCTAATGGGATTCAGGACTATAATAAATTGTTTAGTTATTGTTATTATAATAATATATAGATTTAGCCAGGGCTAAAAGCGAAGCTCCCATTAATAAATTTATAATAATTTATTTAAATCAAACAATAAACTTGTAATCCACAAATCAGTTAACTCAAGGGCACATATGTGAGTTTTCAGGGAAAGCTAAGGCTAAGTGATTTTAGAGTGAAAAAAAAAATGTTACATCGAATTGATAGCCGTATATATACAGCCCCAAAATAGCAATCATCTTCGATCACATTTAAGAGCCATAATGGCTCTTGATCACAGTAGATTAGGCCTGGAAAACGAATTCTTGGAAAACAAATTAGGCCGAATTTTTGCGTTCGACAAGTTTACTCAACAAAATCTTGCCAACAACTCTGGGTGCGTGTAAACCGACATTTCATACTTTTCATACATCACATCTGAGGTGAAACAGTAATATGAGGCGCTGTTTATATCATACAGACCTCAGACAAAATGCAGTATTTCACAATTTTTGAAGACAAATTGCACCCATTCATTATTCAGAACCGTACGAAGCACGCGTGGGCTTTTAGCAAAACTGTTCAAAAAATTTCCAAAATCACCTATACGGCCAGCTGGTTCTTACTTTTGACAAGGCCAAATTTTCAGTAAACATTAAAAGAGTTACGCTTCAACATAATAAAGAATTTACTGTTTTTTTTTTTTTATTTTATGGTTTTATAACGATGTGTAATTTTAAAAAGCGTTTGATACGCGCGGCATTTTGAGTAACATAACACTTTCTGTTGCCGTTCTCTTTGCCTTTGTAGTTCTCTTTCGCGTTGCCTTTGTCTATTCATTCTAGCTCTGTCTCTTTCTGCTTGCCGGCGTTTTTCACTATAATTTCCTCTCCTTCTTCTCGCCCTGCCTCTTTCTACTCTCCGACTTTCTTCGCTAAAATTTTGTCTTCTTCTTCTACTTCTAAAGCACTCTCTTTGGCGATCGTCTTCGCTTGCTCTACGCGTGTTGACTCTTGCTCTCTACCGTTGACTCTCTCTTTGCTCTCTGCCGTTCGTCTACACGCTAAAACCCTTTTTTTTTGACTCTGGTAATTAAAAGTTATAAACCTGTCGTCTTTTTACACTTTAAAATGTCTTTTTCAAAACCAGTTCCGATATAATTGCGCGACGTTGGACTACTTTCCGCCAAAAAATCTCTACTTTCCCCTACCCAGGAAACTTTCCACTACGAACGGACGTACGCTGACGTCATAACCAAAATTTCTCGGATGGATAGTTTACCAAATTATCTTAGTTATGGTGCTCCGCTCGCGCGCGCTTAGCGCGCGCAAGGAGCTCCTTTAAAATGATTTCACAGAAATCACAAAAGAGCAACTCTAAATTCGTTAAAGATCAGTGAAATGTCTCTCAAGGTTCTCTCATACATACATGTTCTTTGTCAACGAGCTGATTGTTTTTTGAAAAAAGGACTTTTCTCGGTATAAGCATCCTCATGTTCTTTGCATGTGCTCTAAGGCATTGTAGAGTGATGACAGGCTACTATGTGACATTGAAATATCTGGCAAAACCCAGAACTATCGCCTGAAAAGGGTTTGCAACTCTAAAGTGACTCGATTCTACTTAATTTTGCCTTGCAAACAACGTAGATATCTACCTGGAGTTATGAAAACCAGGTTAGCAAACATTTTGTAATTTTTCTCAACTGTCTAACAGCTTGTTTACTCTGTTGTTTGCTTATGTCGTTTGTTTTTGCTTGTTTTGTGGTTAGGGATTTGTGTAGAAGTGGATGTGGACAGAATTACTATCTACCCGCGCCCCCCCCCATTTTTTTTGTCCCTACCCACAATTCTCTCTTTAATACAAGTGACAGTTATTTGAAATCAGTGCGCGCCTAAAGCTGGTTTCGGTATCGTTAAGCAGTTTACTTTTAGATAACATTGGCCACCTTGAGAAACGTTTCCCAGAGAGCATCATCTAAAGCTCTGAGATGCAACAAAGTTATTACGATTCGCAGAGTCTGCATCGTCCATATCGTATTATATCCTGGTTTCATTTGGCTAAACGGAACAACAACCCTGTTTCGGGCTGAGACAGAAAGGTACGATATTGTTGGCTTTTCTAAGGCGACCACTAAGTCTTTGGCCTCGAGAACAGGCTCTTAGGAGTCAAATGAATTAGGTGCTAGCAAAATTGCAGGCGAACTTTTACCCGGGCTAAGCCTTAGTTTTTTTTCCTGGTGTAAAAACAAGACTAAGTCCCCGCCGACCGTGTGACTCTACATCCGGGAACTTTAATAAGACAATCGTAAGAGAAAAGTCCAGAGGTGTTTATTTGCCAATTCTTGGTTTGCACGTGACGTAACCAAAAATCAAACTAAGAAACTATCGATTCTTCTGAGTTTCTACTTTCACGAGGTATTACAGTACCTAAACACCTTTCCATAAACAAATTTTTGGTTTGAAAGGGTTCTTCGTTTTGCGAGAGAGGACGCTTGAATTTCCACGGTTTTGCGTGACCCGGCATTTGGCTGGCGGCCGGGAAAGCTCTTATGTGGGTTAAAAACATTACCGAGTTGGGGAGATTTTGCTATCTAAACATTCCTTGTCTCAGAATAAATATTACTTTAATCTTTATAAGTTCCTCAAGCGAAGAATTCACGCACTAGTAGGAAAAGTCGAAAACGGATGTTTCTGTTGGTATCCGCGGCGGCCATATTGGTGTCTCTGAAGGGGACACCAACATGGCGTTTCCGTACAAAGCTTTATAAATTTAGGTAAACCGTTTTTCCGAATATCTCGCATTTGAAATATTACACAGACCTGATTCTTGGCAAGGCCCTTTGCATATTTACCTTCTTTCATTTCACAGACTCTAGACCTTCTGTATTGAATGGTTTGCAGTTTTATTTTTCATAGCGTGACAGTGCAAACCGAAAATAGAGTGAGTTTTTCTGAGTTATTCGATGATATTTCGCTTATGTTGAACGTGACAAGATTACGCGTGTTTGTGGGTAGTCTTATCAGTGCCACGAAGGTGTGTGATTGTGTGATTTCCGCATGGTGTTGACAGGCATGTGATCGCGTTGTTGAACTGCGGTTTGGCCAAAATATTCTGTGCCAGCCATTAATACTGTTTCGTCGGTGTTCAGCTTAGCTGATTGTACCTTGTAAAAGCAAATCTCCACTTAGGAAAATTGGATCTAGGTCTAGTTTCAGCGGGCTCTAATGGCATTGAACCATAGGCCGATTTTGGCAGATAAGAAGGAGATAATTTGTGCACTATGTTTCATTCAGCTTGTTGTCTATTCCATGCGAAATCCTATTGTTTATCGGACCGAGAAAAAAGTTGTGGTTTTTGATGTAAGCTGCGTAGCACGCTTGTGTTTGGGATAAAGCAAATTGTATGTATGTATGTAAATCTTTATTTAAATACGGGAAATCATCAGTTAAGCTCAAGTTAAAAACTAAAACTAATAAATTACAACTGCTTTACATACCTTCTTGATATGATAAGCTTTTGGGCAAGTTGTTCCATAACATGGCCCGCTGTAGGAAAAGCTTCGTTTCAAATAATTGGCGCTTGGTTTGGACAGGGTCAGCTTTCCCTCAGTTTCTTAAGTTGTAAGCAGAGTGACGCTGAGAGAAAAGACTTTGTAGATATTCCGGAGCCAGGTAATTCATGGTTTTATACATCATCAGGCTTTTTGTTTCTTTCGTCGGTAACTTAGCTATATCATTGATCCAACCGGTCACCTAACTACTCCCTTGATCCTATGGCCGACCGAAGGTGTTTCTGCCCTTGTACTTTTACATTAATGGACGGGTCCTTGAAACCTTTCCTGACACTTTCTTCCTTCGCTGGTTTTGCGATGATCTAGCATTACCTGTCGTTCGGAAAATCACCTAAAGCTGAACCAAGGGTGCTGAGACAACCACACCACGTCCTAATTTCCGTAATGGAGCCAGCTCCACTAGCATCATCTGCAAACTAACAAGCTTCACACAGGACGCTGCTTGTAGACTCGTGATTCAAGACTAGTTGCTTAAGGCATATAGACACATAGCAAGCGGATCGCCCTGTATAGGTCCTTCTGCTGACACGATCTCTTTCCCATCAGTGACAAATAGCTGAGCTGGCTGTCTGTGGGTATTAATAGCATTTATATTATAGAGCGCAGAATCTGGATGTTATGCAGTGCGGCTGCTCTGTTGAGTGCGTTGAATCCCTTAGAGGCGTCGACGAGCAGAACCGCATCAGTGTCATCTGATTCAAATATATATGCATGCATAGCGTGTATTGCAGCCTCGCTTCCGGACTTTTGTCCAGCTCACAGCTGGAGTGAGCCGCTGGCCTCGACAACATCCTTCGCAGCAACACTCATTACACACTTTCCACAAATTCTCCTTTAAACTTCCCCGACTCCTATTGATCTAACAGCACCTTCGCCTTTATCCAGTGAAATCAGACGGTTAGCTACCAGGGGCTCTATGGTCATAGGATCAATGCTTTGTGAACACAGAGTCTATGTTATTGTGGCTATTGCCTTACACAGCCTTGTCGATGACTGTTCAAAGGACTTGCAAGCGAGGATTCTTCGGAAACCATTCGCGTCAACCCCAGACGGACCTCCTGCTCCTTTTGTTCTCAAAGCTGTTTGCCTGACCATCTCACCGTTTATCTCCGTATACACAGATTCCGGATACTGCCCATCAATTGGCCCGAAGAGCAGTGAACCTAATTTGGCTGATTGGGATGTTTCTGTTTTAACTGCGACATCACCTCGTCCGTTAACAATTGCATTACCATCGTTTCGTTTCCCCCAGTTGACCATAGATGGTTTGGCTTGCAAATAATAATAATAATAATAATAATAATAATAATAATAATAATGATGATGATGATGATGATGATGGTGATGATGATGATGATGATTGTTATTATTATTATTAATATCATCATTTTTTTTTATTTTTTAAGAGAAACACGCACGCATTTCAAAAATGACATTCCGGGTAAGAGGAACTCACTAGACAATGAAGTACACAAGTTAAGGCTCGCTGAACTGGTAAGTTCCGCACTCGATGTCACTGCCTGTTTTCTCCACCATTTCTCGAGTGTACAACGGACTTACCACCATCCCTATATCCTCTCACCGATGGAATGTAGTATTTAAGAATAGCTCATATATAATTTATAATCAATTGAATATGACGATACTGGGGACCTGCGACGCCATTCGAAATGGCCGTCATCTTGGAGGCGCCCTTTCGGATGCTACTGAATATTCGCTGGATTAGTTGCAGTCGAGTAGGAACTAATATGACTCAGAGTTAAGTTAGTTTAAACATCATTAAGCATTTGCTTATGTTAAAAGCCATGACCAATTGAGATCCACAGCTTCACAAATGAAAAATAGACAAAAAAGTAGAAATTGCCTTACCCCAAATTAGAAAATTAAGAGCAAGGTGTAAAGACGATACTAAAAGCGAATGCCTTCAAAGGAAATTAACTTAGCTCGATGTGTAGAGATGAGCATGTAAAGCCCTGATCAAAACGAGTTACTTTTTATCAACATTCCAACGCAATTTCATCCTCAAACAGTTATCCGTCATTGATGTTATATATTTTTAAATTAATTCAATACCAGCTCTTTTTATTTTAATCAAAAGAAAGAACTAGCGAAGGATGCAACGGAATTAGTAAACGCTGACGCTGACGTTTGCAAGGAAAACGTTATTGCAAAAATCAAGGTTTACATCAGGCGGATCAAGAGTATCGCAGTAGAGGTGAAAATAAAGAAGCAAGTCTTCTACTTTACTTGCATAAAATCTAAAATAATTATCATCTCAAACTTTTATTCCCATTAAAGTGAAGCACAGATCTAGATGTGTAATGTAACTAGATTATCCCGTCTAAAAATTAGGATCTGTTATAAGAACTGGCGCTTACACGTGCTCGCTCTTGCCACCGCTATGATCGCCTTGAATTCGGAAATTCTTTGTTAGTCTTTATGGTCTGAAGGAGAAGGGGATATCCATCGGGCGAAAAGTATCTTTAAAGAGCGAGGAGGAAAAGCTATATCGCAGCAAACCGTCAACTCAAAGATGCCCTCACCTCATTTTCCTTCGGGGTACAACCTGAGCCCTGTTCCTCGAGACAACTCACATCGGGTCGCTGTCATCAAAAAGTGATCTCTATCAATCTAGTGTTACAATTTTAACCGTTTGAGCCGGGACTTTGCCCATTATAGAACTTTGTATTCCCAACAATCGTATGTTTTTGGATTTTACGGTATTTGGCGCGAAAACGACGTCATAAGACTGACAGTAAAAATTAACTTCCATCTTATGCCACAACAGGTTAGCAATTTTGAAAGACTACCCAGAGAAGAACTTAAATGTCAAAACGTTTTTGAAAACCTTATTTGGCTGCGAAGATATGACATTCTAAAGATCGCCAAATTTCTAAAAATGGTACCAAAGTGGCGGAAAATACGAAATTCACAGCTCAATAACTTTTCAATCAATAGAGCTTTACAAAAAAATTTTTCACATTTGAGCTGTGAGCTCTGTTAAAAGTCAATCTTTTGACGTTATCTTCCCGCCAAATACCTTTAAAATCAAAAATCCAAAAACATTAAATTGTTGGGAATATAAAGTTCTATTATCGTGCAAGATCTCAGCCCAAACGGTTAAAAATTGAAAAACTAGTTTAAAAGAGATCACTTTTTGATATGACAGCTGGCCCGGGGTGAAGACATATTTGAAAAGTTTGCCGAATTTTAAGTCAAGTTTTCTTTTCCAGGAAAATGCAACTGGAGCTTATAAGCCTTTTCTCCGAGATCTAGTGCAAAATCAAAATAGAAATGTTAAAGAAAAATATGTTTAACATAGGAATAAAATTCAGACTTAAAGGAACCGGCCGGGCATCAGTGTACTTAAGTGGAAAATGATTGCTCTCACTTCAGTGACTGCCCTCAATTGCCTGAAAATTAGGCTGAAATTGGCAGGAGGCACAGAATCCTTACATGGAACTTTTAAAATATATCTTAGTTAATCACCAATTTGAGCAATGTTCGCCTTATTGAGTATATTTCTACTTCACCTATAATTTCCTCAACAAACTACTTCATACCAGAATGAAACTCAGTTGATGTTAAAAATTGAAAGCAATGTTCAAACTGTATACTAAGCAGGATGCTTAAGACCTTAACACATTAATACAAAATGTCTTCAGATATTAATTGGTAAACGTTAAAATGCTCTTTTGCAGGCTCAGCTGAGCATGCCCGACGTTGTTTTGTGGATGATCAGCGGTAATACGCGTATTGCTTATGAAAGAATACCAGCTCATGACGTCATGTACTTGAAATCTAAAAATAATGACGCATGTGGGAAATTCTGCGGAAAAGTCATCGACTTGTCTCTTAAAGTAACTTCTACTATTGTTTTATTCTATATTCTAATACTAACAAGCTTTTTGTTTATAACTGTAGGATTGTTCTTAAGGTTTAAACAATGATTAATATGCACTATATATTGCCCGGTAATCATCCATCCGCGCCGGCCAGAATAAAATAATACCCGTTTTTACAGTTGACCATATGCGCAAATATGCTTCTGTTTATAACAATGGACGAATAGTTAGATTTACACCAAATTTGCTTGGAGCAAATATAGTTTAAAACTAAAGGACAAACTCGGGTTCGAAAAGCCGGCGAGTCTGTCCGTTTTAGAATAGAGGAGAACTCTTTCATGTTTTAGATAAGCTCACTTTTTCAGTGAGAAGATAAAGCCGTAAACAAACAACTGAAAACACACACAAACGCAAAAGTCAAGCGGTATTCAGCTGTATTTAGGGCACAAGTTATGGAAAAACAGCAACACACTGCACACTGCAAAACTTAAGAAATTCTTGAATGGCAAGTAATGAATGATAGTTATAATTCAAGAAAGGGCCCGTCTGAGTGTATCTAACAATCTCACGATCTGTAGTCTCATGGTCGTTTTTTGAGCTAATGTTATGAATGAACAATGACAGATAAATAACTTAATTTCTTGAAAATTTTTATTCAAACCCCATCAGTTAATCCTAAAAAACAATTGGCGTAAGACAAGTTAAATCGTTGCGTTCACGCAAGTTAAATCGGTCGAGCACATGGTAAAAAAAAAATCAATTTCAAATGCACATTTTGTGGTTTTTCTTTCACGCCGATGTCAAAATGTAGAAAACGTCCATAAAACCTTTATAAATACAAATATTTCTTTTCAATACCCCACTTTTCTTTGATTATAGAGTACGGAATGTACCTCAAGTGTGTTCAGAAACCTCGCTACCTTGGTTGGCTCAAAACAACCCAAGCGCTCCGATCCGCCGTTTAGGTTGAATTCCCCGAAAGACGCAATTTCATGGCGAAAAGCTTTCGTTTGTCCACAGAAAGGAAGCTAAGCATTCTTTTGAACTTTCTCTTTCCATTTGTGTCTTTTATCGACGTATTTTCAAACTTGAAATGCAAAACTTTAGTCTTGAAAACCACCACATCATGGACGCACGCCAACCATTTTGTTGATAGATGACATTTACAAAGGTGTCAAATCCGATCCTTCCCTCACACTTTAAATGGTTGACATGACCATTGGACGTTTGTGGGGCAGTGGGTATGGGTGATTTTACTGATTTAGTTTGTATATGGAAAAATTTTCTCCCAAACCTCTTAGGAGTTAGAAATTTTTTCCCCAACATGTAACGGTGTAAGACTTTTGTCAGCATTGTACGTTATGAGCGATGTTTTTTTCAGTGCAGGATATTTTTCTCCCAGGAATTTTTTTGCATGAGTTTTTCCTCTCGAAATTACTCATACCCCCTCAAAAGTCAAATGGTCGCCCCTAAAATCCACCAAATATTTGGTCAATTGACAGATTCTGATTTTTCAATCATTTTTAAAGGCTTTTGAAACAATGGGGGACAAAACCCTCCAGGGGAGAGAGGAAGAATTCGTTTCCGCTTACCCCTACCCGGAAAGTCCGTACGGACGTACGAACGCACGTACGGTGACGTCATAACCAAATTTTCTCGGATGGATGGTTTACCAAATTTTATTACCCATGGTGCTCCGCTGCGCGATCTTATATTGATCATTTACATCGTTCTTGCAATCTTAACAGAGACTTATAGATTCTAAGACGAGTACGACTATGAGTACGAGATTTTCTGAATACTAAGTAGTGTACGCTCCTGAGTAAGCGTCATTTTGGCGGGAAAACGTGGTAGCCGTCTTCATTCTACTACGAGTTTTAACGAGATGGTCGTAGTGGCGGGAACAAGTTATCAAATGTTAGAAGTCTTAGCATCGGGAGAGCGCGTAACCTCCTTTACTAAAGATAACGGCGTAACATTGCTAACTTTTCTAGTGAAAAATGGTAAAATGAAACTTTGGAAGTCTATATTTTGAGAAGACGCGAAGAACCTCAAGTCAAATTTCGTACTCGTAGTCGTCCTCGTCCTCACATCTAAAGGTCTCTACTGTCGAAGCGAATGGAGAAGTATCATATCAATTTTTTTAAAAAATCATTTCCATTTCTTTTAAAAATTCTTTACTCTAGTACCCTCCTGTAATGAAAGAAGAAGACGATCGTTTCGAAATACCTACATTAGTTCGTTTGGAAATTTGGTTGGGTCTAGCAAAATATCAGCAACAATGGTTCAACAGGAAAACTGGAACGTTCAAGGTTTTTGCAGAAAGGGTTTG